TACTTGACACGAGAATATAGTATTCTATAGTATTGCAGCTTTTTTATGGAAGGTGCCCCCAAAATTGCTTTGTCCCAGGCCCCCTGAATCCTCTTGGTGGCCCTGAAGCCTCCTGTCCTGCCCCTTCCATCTGAGGCCCCACCCCTACCCTGCCCCTTCCGCTCCTCCCCTCCCACTCCCCTTGCCCACTGGTACCAGAGGAGCTCTGAATCCCCCACCACAGCTGGAGCCCCGGCTGAGCCACCCCCAGCCCACCCACCTGAGCCCCAGCCCACCCACCTGAGCCACCCTCGGCCCACCACCCCAAACCACGACAAGTCGGAGGAGCCTCAAGCCCTGGCTGCCCGGAGGAGCTCTGAGCCCTACCATGGCCTAGCCCCCAGCCACTGCCAGAGACAGGCTACTGGACTAGATGGACCATGGGTCTGATCCAGTCTGGTGGTTCCTATCTTCCTACGTCTGTGTAGCAGAAAAGTTCCTTTCCCCTCCCCCCACCCCTTACAGTTTGTTCTGACCCCAATCCAATCCTCAGCAGGAAGGGGATAAAGCAAAGATGGGGCTGGCTCATGCTTGCTGCATGTTAGTGTTTTATTTGCACAAATGATCATATAGAAAGTGTTACTGAGGTAGACTTTAGTCTATCATACGGGGGCTCCCCCGGGGAACTGACAGGCAAGTGTAAAGAAATATGGGCGTGAAGACAGATTAAGGTGATTTCCAAACTGGGCAAGAGAACAATCCCTTTAAGGAACCAGCAGGTAATGTGTGACTGGCTTGCAGCTGGAAGGACAGCTGGTCCATACTATACCTAACAATTACAGCCCCAACTGGCCCGCTCTGGACACGGCTGAGCCAGGTACCCACTAGGCTTGGTTGGAATTCATACATGGGCTACCCCTGGAGGAGTAGGAATTCACACCAGGTCATAACAACCCACTAGAAGCCCAACACTGATTTTCTTTTCCTACCTTTAAAATGAGAGTTGTCCTTCACTGGAGCACTGGTGTATCAGTGCCAGGCCTTGGGCACCAGGGTATCGGTACCTGGGCATGGGCTTGTTACGGAAGGGCTGCTCCCGTGTGCTGGGCCGCATGTGCTGGTGTTCCGTGAGCGCTGGTGCTACATACACTTAGTTATTGGGGCTGTGTGCACCAGTTTGTTGCTGTGGGTTTGCATGTGATCACTAAGCAGTGCTCACTGGTTTGTTTTGGTAGGATTGTGTCTAAGCACCTGGGCTGCTGCCACTGATATTTTTAAGAGCAAAGGAGGCAAGAATTTGTTTAGAATTAAAACAATTCACAGCAGGAGGGCGAAATAGAGCCCTCCCTTCCCACAGGCCTCCTAACATTCCCAGCACCATGTTACCAGCTATTGAATGAAGTGGGAAAGGGAGCAGATCATTCTTTCAGAGCGTGGCAGGGGGGGATGGTTAGTCAGTTGCCTGCAAAAGGCTTTTCCTCGTATCTGCAGCCAGTAGACACAGGCCCATGGCCTGTGTCTGCCCTCCATATTGCTGTCAGAAAATCAAAGGGGTTCATTGGAAGAGCCAGGGCTGAGGAGGAGAATCCCTCTGTTGGCTCTATGGGTCCTGGCGATACACCAACCCTTCTTGTTCTGGTGGCAGCAGCGCCCATGGCCTTCAGCTACAATCAAGTTGAGCTCCCATTCCAAAGTGAATCCCAAGGAGCTGTGCCCTGACTGGAACATCTGCCCAACCCGGACCCCCAGCAAGGGCAGAATGTGGTTGCCTTCGGCCTGCGTGTCATGTTCGCTGCTGGCTGCTCCGGATATTAAGAAACATTTCCTGCTTGGAACGATACATGTGCTGGGTCATTGCTATTCCCCAAAGCCCCCCACACCCACCTCCCTCCCCAGGGGGTTATCTACAAAGCAAAGGACTATTGGGTTCTGTGGCCAGCAGGGGCTTTCCCTGTGAGGAATGGACTTCCTCTTTGGGTCTGTCGGGCCTTAGCTGCAGGGAGAGCCAACAGATCTGGTTACTCTATTTACACAAGCCAGCCAAGGAGCCTGCTGCCTTGCCTCCCCCCCTCCCCCCAGCTGCGCCCTATGGGGTGTGCAGCATGGAATGCTTCTGCCGGAACGCTTCCAAGAACGAGAAAACCCCCCGTTTCCGAGTGCTGGCGCCGCTGCCATTTTTCGTGGAAGGGAACGGGCACCCTGGGGAGTCCACAGATGCTGTCCTCTTCATCTTAAGCACCGAGCGTGAACTGCCCTTCGGCCTCAGCCGTGAGGTGGAGGCCACCAGACACTTCTGGTACTGAACCTGTTATGGAATGGGAGCAGCGGGTCAGAGTGTCACAGAGACCGGACCACAAAGAGCACTCTGCCTCAACAAGAACCCAGCAAGCAGAAAAGGGTCGTCGTCATCCCTGCACTATGGGTAAACTGAGTCACAGAGCGATTAGGTTGTTGTTCAAAGGCAGCTGGCTGAGCTAAAGATAGAACCCAGGAGTTCTGACTCAGTCTGCCCCTTCATCTAACTGCTAGACTCCACTCTCTCCTAGCGCTGGGAATGGAACCAAAGAACCCTGTCTCTGTTCCTTCCTCTAACTACTGGAACCGCCCCCTTCCCATGCGTACAAATTGGCTCTGCATTTCATGTGTGCATCATACTTCTCAGCAGACTCTCCAGCCGGACGATACCAGCAAAAGGGCATCTTCAGTTCCTCCTACTCTGACCACTAAACCCCACACCCCCCAGAGTCCTCTCCCACCCTGCTCCCCCCCAGCTCCAAGTCACCCAAATCTGCCCTGTCTTTAGCCCATTTCCTATAGGTGCTTGTGGAGAGTGGTTTGTGAGATGCTGATGGCACCTTCTCTCTAGATGTCCAGAGCGCCTCAGCTTAAAAGGGTTTTCCCTGGGAGCAGCCCCTCTCCTTGTACTCCCCAGGCCACTGATGTAGAGTGGACACAGGAAACACCGAGGCAGTGGGAACCCAAGGAAAGGCAGCGAGTTCCAGGGGTGCTTTGAGACAGGTGTCAAGGTATGGAATGAATCCGTTTGGGAGGGGTGGAGTTTACATAAGAACAGCCATACTGGGTCAGACCAATGGGCCATCTGGCCCAATATCCTGTTTTCTGGCAGAGGCCAATGCCAGGTGCTCCAGAGGGGATCAACAGACCACGGCAATTATTCAGTGATCCATCCCCTGTCATCCAGTCCCAGCTTCTGGCAGTTGGAGGTTTAGGGTCACCCCAAGCATGGGGTTGCCTCCCTGATTGTCTTGGCTAATAGCCATTGATGGACCTATTCTCCAGGAACTTATCTAATTGTTTTTTGAAGCCAGTTATAATTTTGGCCTTCACAACATCTCCTGGCAACGAGTTCCACAGGTTGATTGTGCATTGTGTGAAGAAGTATTTCCTTTTGTTTGTTTTAAACCTGCTGCCTATTAATTTCATTGGCTAACCCCTAGTTCTTGTGTTATATGAAGGGGTAAATAACAGTTTCCTAGTTACTGTCTCCACACCATTCATGATTCTATAGACCTCTGTCATATCTTCCATTAATCATCTCTTATCCAAGTTGAACAGGCCCACTCTTTTTAATCTCTCCTCATATGGAAGCTGTTCCATACCCCTCGTCATTTTTGTTGCCCTTCTCTATACTTTTTCCAACGCTAACAGATCTTTTTTTTTTTCAGACATCTGTGTCAGATGTGAAAAATGAAAACCCCTCCCCCATCTACCCCCACACTAATCCCTCCAGACTCTGCCCCACCTCCATCTGTCCCCACACTAACCCCCCAGACTATGCCCCACCCCTGACCTATAAATACTGTTTTCTACAGGGACTGTGGGTGCTCCCTTGGGTGGCCAAAGCCCGGCTGGGAGGGGGCCCGTTGTTTGGCCCCGAAGCATCCAGGTGTCTCCCCGGCCTCAGGGTCTGAGGGGGCAGCTTAGCGAGTCGATCCCCTCCAAACACCAAGGTGAGTTCCCTGACAGGGAACCAGGTTTGTCTCCAGAGGACATGGCCCCATGTGAGGGAAGACAGCAGCGTGTCTCCCACCCTGCCTGGACCCTGCTGCAGACATGTACTGGCGGGGCCCACATGCTGTGCAGCTTTTTGAAAGCACCACGTGCTTGTTAAGAGCTACAGTCTGTCAGTGATACCCGCACCTCTAGAGACCTAGGGGCCTTGTTAGCCCAGAGCCCAGCCCCCTGCCAAGGTGAGACAGAGCCCCTCATGGGGATGGTTCAGAGGTGAAACAGCCCAAAGACCAGGTGGGTTCAGAGCTGTCCCAGTCTATAGGTCTCAGTAGAGAGCAAGGACTGACTGGATCATGGACCCCCCTACAGGGCAGGGCTGAGGGAGAGCTGCCCATGCAGCCCCTCTCTGGGGCTAGATGGAAGGCATCGGTCTATAGGGCTCTCAGTCCAGCACCTTTCACCGCAGAGAGTTCCCCTGGGGGCGGGGTGGAGCACACTCACCATGCATGCAGCCTGCACAGCCTCTGAGATGGTGCCGGCATCCGGCTCACACCAGAAGGCCATGCACTGGAAATGCTGCTGCCCCATGTCTACGATGAGAGCAAACGTGTGAGCGTTCTTCCCAACACCGATGAAGGTCACGTAGCGGACCTGGCACTCAAAGATGTGAGCGTCTTCCTCACCAGCCTCAAAGGAACACACACGAGAGCAGTCACTAGACTCAGGCAGAGAGGAAACGATCCTGCCTCAGGGTTACCTCAGTGTACATGAGAGGGATCTAAAGAACCATAGTAGAAAAGACCTAGCATGTCCCAACTAGGCCACCCCCTGGGCCTACGACTTTGTCCCCTACTGTCCCCAGGGCTCCCAAGCAATGGCGCTTCCAGCTTGTACACGGGGAAGCGACTCCATGGCCTGATGGATAATGAGCTTTCTCCAACCATCAGCTAACGTTCCCTTGGCGTCATTTCACCTTATTTTCTCTCAGAGCCTCCTACGTCATTCCTCTTCCTCCTGGTGCCTACACCCTATGCGTCCTTGCAACCTCCAGCAGGAGTCCAGTCCAGCTGACCTATTTACTGCTCAAGTTGGCAACACTCCTCCCAGCACTTCACTGTGCCTGCTGCTGAGTGGGCCCCAGCAGCATTGAGCTCCTCTCGTTGCCCAAGGCCTGTGCTCACTGTCCCTTCAGGACAATTGATGGCAGCTATGTGGAGTACCAGACAAACCTCAGAGCCCACGAGCTGGCAGCGCTGAACTTCTTTCAGCCAGCCCTGAGGACTGCTGGCATTGCCTAGCGACATTAAAGAGCGAGTGGCTTGGAACCACAGGCCGAGGGCAGGTGAGAGGGCATTGGCTACAAGGTCAGTAGGACCTGTTCTCTGATTGCATTTGCCAGAGGAGTGTAACCGGGTGGGCTCCAGGGCAGTGGGGGCTGCAGTAAGAAATCCACAAACCCACCCTAGAGCCCGTTCCACTGGATGCATGGGAGCTTCAACGAGTGAACACCCTGTATTCCAGAGGCAGCCACTTAGTGGGCATCCCTCAGCAGCAGGAGAGGGGTAGTGTGCCCTGTGGTAGCGCCCCCAGAAGGCCAAGCATGTGGAATGTTACCTCTGCCTGGTGCACCGTCATCACCGAGTCTGACACACTGACAAGGGAGGGGGTCCACTGCTCACGGCCTTGGCTGCTCATCATGGTCTCAATGGCCTCGTTCAGTATGTCCATCCCTGGGGAGATGAGCAGAGGGGATGGACCACGCCCTCCGCTCCTGGCACAATGAGGCCAGGTACCACTCACCCATCAGGCTCCTCTGAAGCCATCAGCCTACAGGACTCAGCAGGTCTGTGCTGCCCAGAGGGAAATGCAAGAGTAGGAGTGCTCTGCGCTGCCAGTGTCCAGTGGGGTGGGGAGAGATAGGGGGCTACAGGCAGCTTTATCCAGCCAGACAGGTGAAGGGAGGGGTGCACAAGCAGCCCCTTCAGCTAGGGTGAGGCATGGGCAGCACCTGCTAGAAACTGGCAGGGGATGCCAGCGAATCCTGCAGAGATTGCAAGTTCCATGGTTACAGGGCAGTGTCACTGGTGCAGAAGCCAGTGGAGACACTGAGTGGGGAGACTCCCTGGGGACCAGGGGCAGGAAGCAACACAACAAGGCATATAGGCAGCAGCAGTGCCCCAGACCAGCTCTCAGTGCTTCGCAACATGAATTCTTTGGTGCCACACCCCAGGCCAGCCCACAGCACAGCCAGGCCTCAGTGTCCCAACACCAGGGCGGCCAACAGCATAGCCAGGCCTCAGTGCTCTCCCCGCTGCCCCCCCAAGAAAAAACCCTCCAGGGTTGCCAGGCATCCGTTTTTTGACCAGAACGCCCAGTCAAAAAGGGACCCTGGTGGCTCTGGTCAGCACCGCTGATCAGGCTGTTAAAAATCTGGTCAGCGGCACAGTGGGGCTAAGGCAGGCTCCCTGCCTGCCCTGGCTCCACACAGCTCCCGGAAGTGGCCGGCATGTCCAGCTTCTAAGCACAGAGGCAGCCACGGGGGCAGCACACAGAGCCCCCTGGCCTCTCCACCTAAGAGCCAGAGGAGGGACATGCCGGCCACTTCTGGGAGCCGCCTGAGGTAAGCGCCGCCCAGCTGGAGCCAGCACCTTAAATCCCCTCCTGCACCCCAACCTCCTGCCCCAGGTCAGAACCTCCTTCTGCACCCTAACTCCCTCCCAGAGCCCGCACCCCACCTCACCCAGCCTGGCTGGGCTTTTCAGGAGCTCTCGGTGCTGGCTTAACTCTGCTCCCATTGAGGCCAGTGGCCGTTCGGCCACCGACACGGTTCAGTTGGTGCAGCATCCCCTCCCCCCCGCCAGTTCTCTTTCAGTACACAGCGGCCCATATGATGTAAAGGCATAGGGACTGTAGCAAGAGCTTCCCCCCAGGGCTACTCACCCATGGCTTTGGGCACCGGTAAGCTGCCAATATACAGGGCTTCGTACTTCTGGATAGACTGCCTCACGGCGTCCAGAACATCAACTGCCAGAGACAAGAGCAAGCCAGAGCAAGGTCTCCTCCAGCTCCTCACCACCTTGAACAAAGCCCACCTCTTTACCAAGGGGTGGGAGCTTCATTGTATTACCCCCAGGCAGGGCCGGCTCTAGGGTTTTTGCCGCCCCAAGCAGCAAAAGGAAAAAAAAAAAGACCGCGGTCGCAATCTGTGGCAGCTCTACCGCCGCTGCTTCAGTCTTCGGCGGCAATTCGGCGGCTGGTCCTTCGCTCCAAGAGGGAGTGAGGGACCCACCGCCGAATTGCTGCCAAAGAGCTGGATGTGCCGCCCCTCTCCGTTGGCTGCCCCAAGCACCTGCTTGCTGGGCTGGTGCCTGGAGCCGGCCCTGCCCCCAGGCAAAGGCCAACCTGAGAGCTGCCCTGCTACAGGATGCTTGTTGGTGTCTTAGGCACAGGTGACATAGATTTCCCCACCTAGCACCAGTCGCTTGGCTTTGGGGCTTACAGGACAGAGAGAGCAGGAGGCGAGCCATTCTGCTGGGGTACAGCCCTCCACCGCCCTGGGATTGGTTCTGTGTATGTGGGGTTGTTTCCTTCTCTTGAAGACGTTCTAGGAGCTCCCCTGCCTTGAGCCCAGCCCCACAGGCTCCGAGCACAGCCCAGGGCACACCTTAGGCCTTTCTTTCAAGGAAAGGTTGTGTTGTGCTAGGTCTCCCCCCACCACCCCGCTTATGAAAACAGGCTGCCATGGGTACAATGGGGCAGGCCTAGGTGGGAGAGAAAGAGCGAGCCCCATCCTCTGGCATACAGCCCAAAGCTCCTATCTATAAATCGGGGGGGGAGGGGACATCAGTTTGAGAGCTGATATCTCAGCCCCTTTCAGGGCTAGAAAGGAGCACCCTGTACCCATGGGCAGGGAGTTCCCAGCTGTCCCATGGGACAAGGTAAGGGTTTCTATCCTTGGTGGCAGGGGCAGCAGGTTTGTAGAAATTTTGGTGGTGCCCAGAACACCCAGAAGCCACCCCCCCGAACTCTGCCCCCCACCTGCCTAAGGCTCTGGGAGGGAGTTTGGGTTGGGGGAGGAGGTCTGGGGTGCAGGCTCTGGGCTGAGGCAGGGTATTGGGGTGCAGGAGGGGGTGAGAGGTTGGGCTCTGGGAGGGAGTTTGGGTGGGGGAGGGGGTCTGGGGTGCAGGTTCTGGGATGGAGTTTGGGTGCTGGGTGCAGGATCCAGGCTGGGGCAT